AAAATAATAGCCGGCATTCCTAAAGGTAGCCGCACAGAAGATGCTTTACTTGAGGTCATCCTGCAGCCGCTAAGTACGACGATGCTCACCCGTAGCCTCAAATATATGCTCTTGTGCGAAACGCGAGGAGGAGCGGTACGTGACAGTGCCAAAGCGGTATACCCGACCGAACACCCCGTACGACAACTTTATACCACCATCATGGCACCTTACCCAGAACTCCATATTGAAGCTACGGTCCCGCCCCTGGCGCCCCTCACGCTACGGTGGGCGTCCCGGGCCCTGTTTCACACACCGCTTGAAGGTGTCACCGCAGAGGACCCGGACGAGGCCAAACTTCAAGCATGCACCAGATGGATAGCCCGACGCTTCCGCCGAAAGGGACCTACGCCACCCGAACGCCCCCACTATGAACTATGGACGGATGGCTCTGTCAAACTGGGAAAAAAAAATATGGCGCTGCAGCCATGATTTACCTCAACGGAGAGCCCATTGCCCAAGCAAAGGCAGGCGCAGGACCCATAGCGTGTAGCTACCGAGCTGAATCCATCGCGTTGCAAGTTGGACTGCAGAAATTGCTGGACACCATTCCCCGCCGCAGCACTCGGCTGTGCAGAGCCTCTGTCTTCACGGACTCCCTGTCACTCCTCATGGCACTCCAAACAAGCCCCCTGACAGCAACAGACCCCATATTACGACTACTTTGGAGCCTGCTGTTGGATCTACAACACCGCAAGGCACGCATACGGCTACAATTTATATTTGGCCACTCTGGCGTCGGGAAGAATGAGGCATGTGATAAGAAAGCCAAGACGGCCTCGGACTTACCACAGCGCGGGGGCACGCGGATACCGGATGTAGTAGCGCTGGCAAAACGCCACATGCGCAGCCAGCTGCCCAAACCATCCACCCACCGCTCCAGTATTACCGGCCATTGGAACCCGACACGCAATGATCTCAGCTTACCTCGGGAAGAAGAGGCGGGCCTAGCTCGTTTTCGCACAGGCGCATCCCACTGCTACGGCTGGCCGCTGCGAGCATTACAGCCCACCACGCCAAATGCATGCAGGTGGTGCAACCCCATAGAACCCCCTCCCCCACTCAAAAAGCCTCGAATAGAAACGCCTGCAGCAAACGCAGAGGCAGTGCCTTTGCGTTTCAGTGATCTGGCGAGCTGCCCGGCATGCCAACCCGTTATGGCTGTCGGTCAAGCGCTGCGATTCACATGGTCAACAAACATGAATTCACACGCGCCCGCGCACTCTGGAAAGCCAAGCACCCCACAGCTTAGGAGCCGCCGGGCATCCCGCCAGAACCCCCTCCCTTCAGCACCAAGGCCCAAACGCACAGCACCGGACACAACAAGCGATCCCAACCCGATCGCCAAGAGGCGTCGAGAAGAATTTGCTTGCACCTTATGCGCGGCGCCGCATAAAAGACAGGTAGGGCTAACAAGGCACCTTCGCTACTTCCATCCCCAGCAATACAAAAACGCAGAACGCAAACGAGCGCGGGAGATGGAAGAAAAAACCACACTTGCCTTTTCACTGCGACCACTTTGAGTTCGGAGCCCTAAGTAAGACAGGGCTCTTATCCCACATCCGTCACAAGCATCGCTCCCCAGAAGAACCGCCACGAGCAGTGACACCACGGCCCACATTATTTTGTCCAATACGTCGCAGACCCATGGGCAACGCTGGGGGACTGGCAAGCCACATGAAATACAAGCACCCCGGCGAACAGAATACTAGAGCACAAGACCCAAACTAAGGCAAACCAAAACCCCCAAGCGAGAGAGAGAGAGAAGAACCCCCCGCCTTGCACACCACTCCCACAAATCAGGAAAAAGATGAAGCAGAATTGCCCCATCTTAGAAAGCGTATGAGAACAGAGGCTTCCTCTCCGACCGACGACCGGCTAAAGAACGAGGGGGCCGCCCCCCTACCGCCCGGGCGGCGGAGAGAGATACAATGNCAGACCCATGGGCAACGCTGGGGGACTGGCAAGCCACATGAAATACAAGCACCCCGGCGAACAGAATACTAGAGCACAAGACCCAAACACAGGCACACCAAAACCCCCCAAGCGAGAGAGAGAGGAATCCCCTACCCCGCACGCCACTCCCACAAATCAGGAAAAAGATGAAGCAGAATTGCCCCATCTTAGAAAGCGTATGAGAACAGAGGCGCCTTCCCGAACCAACGGCCAGCTAAAGAACGAGGGAGCCGCCCCCCTACCGCCCGCGCGGTGGAGAGAGACACAATGCTTGGTGTGTCTGAAATGGTTCGCGTCTCTTGAATCCGTTCGAAAGCTCTGCAGACGATATCATGAGGGCCACGGGGTTCCTGTAACGGTGAAACGCCGGAGGCTCCATGAGGATGCTCCTGATGACTTGCCTCTTTCTGCCTTCTTGTGCCCCGCATGCGGATTCCAGCGCCACAGCAAACATGGACCCACAAGGCACCGCATGGCCAGCCACGGATTCAGGTCGGACATCGTGGAAAACAAGCCAACGTGGACAGTGCGAAGAGACGAGCATGCACCTATTGAGCTGCCCCGCACTAAAAAGTCTACGGTGTCACTTTGGGGTGGATGGGGGCGACATGGAGAAGCTGTGCTTTCTGCAGAAGCTGGCAAATTCCTGCTTGCAGTGGAAAGGTTTTGTCCTCAACGGCCTTCGCCGACAGAACCAACGCCAACCATACAGGTCCAGGAATAGTCCTCTCTCCCCCTCTCAGCTTCATTTCCCCTCTATATTTTTGTTGATCTCACGCCGAATGCGCCCCCCCCCCTTGAGAGGGCTAAGGCCAATGGGGCGAGTAGGCTTTCGAAGTCCCAGTTGAGAGCACTGAGCCGACCGATCTTCCAGCGCATGCTTTTCACTTGACCGGCACAGCGAAACAGAGAACAAAATACCAAAAGCAACAAAACACAAAAACAAAAATACCAAAAACAACACAACAAAACACACCAAAAATAACAAAATACGTAACAAAACAAAGGGACCTCCTTCCAGATAGAAATTAAGCAATAATGAACGTGCTCTACGATGGTGGCTGATGGAGCGGAGTTATCAACGAGAGTCGTGAAGACACGAGGAAGAATAGTCTGTACCTTACCCACATCTATTAAGTAAAGAAAGAGAAGGAGAAACCTATTATCCAATTCCCATCGCGAAAGCCATGCCCCCAGATTGCATATTTGGAGTGCGTTCCAGTATACATCAAAGCATTAACCATATAATGGATTTAAATCATGTATCAAAACTGACGAAAAGGAGGTGCTAAAAGCGCCCTTAACCCTCCCCCCGCGCCCCCCTTCGCAAGTCCCATCCTTTTGCGATCTCCGTCGGTAAAACCTTGACCCCTTGTGGGATGCTGTCCGCAGGATTCTTTTCCGACGCGACATAGCCCCATGCGGCGTGTAAGCACTGGTCGCGCAACGCCCTCTCGATGCGCCCTGCCCCTTCAACGAGGGCATCGGAATGTGCGTTGCCTTTCCTCATAATATGCATCATTGCCGTGTTATCGAAACATACATGAAGTGTGGCCGGTAAAATCCCCTTGAAAGCGAGCATGGCCAATCCTACGGCCCTCGCTTCGTCCTGTCAAATAATGTGGGGGGCCTGCTCCCATGCCCCCCCTGCTCCCATGCCCCACCGTTATCCTTAAGCAAAAGCGCGCCCCATCCATATAAAGAGGCGTCGGACACTAAAGCCCCTGAGGTCGGGNGGTAAAATCCCCTTGAAAGCGAGCATGGCCAATCCTACGGCCCTCGCTTCGTCCTGTCAAATAATGTGGGGGGCCTGCTCCCATGCCCCACCGTTATCCTTAAGCAAAAGCGCGCCCCATCCATATAAAGAGGCGTCGGACACTAAAGCCCCTGAGGTCGGGTTGGCCCTCGGGGGGTTGACAGGATTATTCTGCAACAAAGTGTCCAGCCACCCCTGCCCGATCTTAAGGGCAAAAGGGGGTAGAGCGGCCGGGCCATGGGCCCCTAACAGCCCTCTGTTGAGCCGCGGCTGTTTTCGGCGCACCGTTTTCAAAAAGAAATAATACCGAAAAAGCGAACCCCCTTGAACCCCCGCTGCACACACCATACGTGAAGTGAAGCTTTTCAATTCCTCCACCGACATCTTATGGAGGGGTGTGGCACTCTTCAATTTCCGTAACGCCTTGTGACTGAGGGAAACCGTCCTAGTCGTGTGGTTGAAACAAACCCCTATGAATTCATAACACGCGGTGGGTGCCTCGTGCTCTCCCACCGTCGCCCCGCAATCGCGCATATTTCCCATAATAGTGTTCCCCCACAACTCCACACTTTTACGTGGCCCTGTGATACGCAGATTGTCAATCCACACGTGAAGGGTTAGTTCCGGCGGGGCTGCGAACCGCGGTTTAACCACCCCGGGGTCACCCGCCAAAACTCTTGAGATCGTGTGCACGATTTCTGGACTACATTTATACCCCATTGGGAGCCGTGTGAAGTCGACCAGCTCCCCCTTCTCCGTGCGACAACGGAAATTTCTGCGTCTTTCGGCTGGCAAACCTACCTGGAAGAAAGATGCCTTTAAATCGAAAATGGCGGCTGTCTCATCGTAAACCGCGCCCAGGT